GCCTGTCTTTCCCCCCCTCAGGCCTGATGTCCTGTTCCTGCACGGCCAGGCGTTCACCTCCAAGACGTGGGAGGCCTTGGGCACACTGGCACTGCTCGCTGGAGAGGGCTACCGTGCGGTTGCCATAGATCTGCCCGGTAGGAGCATGGCGCTGTGCTTAGCTGATCTCTTTGGGCAGATCCCGTCCCTTGCCTTAGTCACTGCTGGGCTCTGGATGTCTTCAGGGAGGGCTCTGGGTAGCTGCTGGTGATCCCTGGGGCTCTGTGCCTGGGATTTCTCTGTGTCCTGTGGCATTGATGGCTGTGACTGTACAACCCTGGGGCTTGATCGAGGGTCCATCTTTTGCCAAGCCCCTGAACCCTGGTGAGGAGAGACCATTGCAGGTTGCACAATGCCCCCTGACCACCCCATGCCCTCTTCCCCATACCAGGCTATGGGGATTCTCCCCCAATGGAGATGGCGCTGACAGCACAGGGCCGGAGGGCATTCCTGGACCGTGTCCTGCAGGAGCTGGGCATGCAGAGGCCTGTTCTCATCAGCCCCTCCATGAGCGGCCGCTTTTCCCTGCCCTTCCTCCTGGCACACGGGGACCGGCTGGCCGGCTTTGTGCCCATCGCACCCGTGGGCACCAAGGATTTCACTGCTGAGCAGTACCGTGCAGTCCAGGTGGGTTTTTGGGCTCTTGGGGGCTGCCCTGGGTATTGGTGAGCCTTGTCGGCCAGCTGGCTGCAGGGTGATGTGGAGGATGGCACTGTTTTGGGGTGAGTGAGGGGGACCTGTGACCCCCAGCTCATGGGGGTGCTGGCACCTGCCTCCCCTCAGCTTTGCAGCCCCTGTGATGATGGATGGAGGTGGGCACAGCCCAGGGGGAGTGTGGTGGCCATTTACCCCTCTGACAGCTGCTCTTGTTTTCTCTCTCCCCTTACCAAGACACCCACTCTGATCCTGTATGGTGGCCACGACACTGGCCTGGCTCCCCAGGCCCTGCAGAACCTCCAGCACCTCCCTAAGCACCGTGTGGCCGTGCTGTCAGGTGCTGGCCATGCCTGCTACCTGGACAAGCCAGAGGAGTTCCACCGGGCCCTGCTGGGCTTCCTGCGCCAGCTGAAGTGAGCACTGCCTCCTCCCTGCCAACAGAGGGGCCTCCGGGAGGCTGGGAGCCACAGACAGCTGGCATGAGGGATGCGGTTCCCTCCTGGGATATCCCCAGGACGGCGGGGGGTGGGACTAGAGGTGTCCCTTGCTGGCAGGAGGAACAGTCTGTCACGAGGCCAATAAACTAATGCTGCTCTGGTTTCTGCGTGTGGAAAGCGCCGCGGGGCTCCTCGAGCTCCAGCCCCATCTCCCTGCCGCATGTGCGGGGCCAGGAGGGTG